GCTTTATTCAATATTATATTTTGGTACAATATAGAATTCTCAGCACAGGGTATTTCAACAAATTACTTATGCAAACAAAAATAGTAACAAAGACAAAAAAACGTTTTAAAAAATATCTGAAAAACAGTACAACATTTAAAATTAAAGTCATGTTAAGGATGCAGGTTATTGGCTAGATTAACTCTAACAACCTGTTCGTCACAGAGTATATTTGCTAGATAAGGTATTATAGAACATTTGTACTTTTCCTTGCGTGCATGGATTTTAATGTAATTACGTCTCGTTCTACCAGAAGATATACAAGGAGAAAGATAAGAGTGAAGGGGATGGCTAGTATCTGATAAAATGACACCTGCCAGGAGTTTGCATGATTTTAAATGTCTATCCACAACCAAATTAATTATGACCTCGAAAGATTCACCACACACCTTGCTAACTGCCTTCAGCACTCTTCGCAATATAGCAAAGTCTTTTCTCAAAAGCCCGGGAAAGAATAATGGGGAACAGTAAAGAATAATAGGTAGTATGCAAGAATTGACAAATTGTAAGAGTAAATGACGAGTAATTCCAAGAGCATGCAATCTGTTTATGTAGTAGGTCAGACGGAAAACCTTCTTCGATAACGATAAAACGTGGGAAGACCAAGACGGATCAGAGGAAAAGGTGACACCAAGATAATTGACCTTAGACACTGAGTTTATCAAAGAGTCTCCGATGGTACAAGCACTATGGGATCTCAAAATAGTGTTTATATTCCGTTCATGTCTCATGCTAAAGTTAACAGGGTGAAATACTGGATGTCATATCACTGATCGTCATGATACGACGAGCGAGTGTAGAGAATGCTGTGACTTCCACGTAAGATCTTATAGAATGGGTAGTCATATCATGACAACCCTATAATTTTGAGATTAGATCTACCATTAAGGTAATGGTAATACCAAACAAGACCCAATTACTAAGCTGAAAACACCTGAAAAATATTTTTCTAGAGGATACAAACATCTAATAAAAACCCTCTTGTCACAGTGTAAGAAATGGTTCTGTCAATTGAGAGATAATATTGTATCTAAAAATGGTGAAAGGTAAAATCACTTTGCTCCAAAGGTGGGCAAGCGTCGGTAAAACAAAAACTGTAAAAGAAAGTCGGAAAATGTACAATTAATCACCGATTACCATCTATAGCTATATTAGTCCAATATGGCAACTGCAAAAAGACAATTGTAGGTTAAACGAAGATGAAACACCTGTCTTCCTACTACCAAATTGTACTTCTACCTATTATGGGCGGCGACGTATTCTGTTTCATTGTGATTATCGACCTAAATTGCCTTGATCGGTTTAACATTTTCGTATAAATACTCTTGTATATTAAAGTAAAGCCTGATGATAATCTAATTGAAAACAATTGTTCGCTTACATGTGTTGTTCTAATTTTCACAATGGGAATCTTTAATATCATTTTGTAACTTGTACAACGAAACGTTTTACACTTTTTATAAACGCACCTGAATAGGCTATGTATTTAATTTATATAATGATGTGTCAAAATAAAAAAGGAAACAGATTACTTATTGAATTATCTAGATGGCACGAACAGGTAGCTTGGATATTCAAGCAGGCTGCCAGATCCACTTCACTGGTTATTTACAATAAAACATCTATAATGTAGCACGAAATTCCGTCGATAATTTTCACCTGACTTAATTGTGCCGCTCATGGTTTTTTGTAAACATTTTTACAGCGGCCGTCTGTACCCATAAATTTGAATAAGCTGACTATGCTTTACCTGTAAGGGAAGGAATGCGGTATGACATGTATAACAAACACTTCTGAACGATATGAGTTTGTTAGAGACCTAGTGCATGTATGAAATCTTTAAAGTCTTGAACATTTATGACCTAGTAAGAAAGTTGATGTTAGCCACACTGGTTACTCAAGTACGTACAGCAGTCAATGTGCTGAAGTTTTGAGTGTAGATACAGAGCTACAGTTAACTGTAAGTCGGCCGCTTCCTAAGATTTTAAAGCTCTTTGTACTATTCGTAAGTCACCTTGTCATTCAGATGAAAAAACCTCTAGGGTATTATGTCGACGTTTGTAAGGCAGCATTTGAAATATGCAATCTTACTGACCTACTATACGAAGAAAGACTGAGACGCATCGGCCTATGTCCGTCATCATACCCCACATTGGGAGATGATTTAGTACTAGCCCTTAGTATACGGAATGATGATTTCGCCAATAGTATCTTTTAGCTTTCCCTCCCATTTAGGACTGATAATCAACGAGGTATTTTAGGAAATTTAAAAAAAACCAAGATCAAGCCGTTTACGTCTGGAGTTTTATTTGTTGTACCGAGTAGTGACTTATCGGAACTTTCTACTTAAACATGCAATATCAGCACTGTCTGTTTTTACATTCAAAGGATTATCCGAACTTCTCAGCATTATTAAGTGAGAGGACTAATACGATTCGCTTAACCTGCTATCTATACCAGCTGGCTGGAGACTTCCGATGTCATTACCATGCAAAATATATGGACTTTGTAGTCTGTATTCGTGTCTACAAACTAAACATTGAAGCAATGCTTTCAACACGGCAACGCGGCAACTAACCAGCGTTATTCTCAATCATCTAGCATTGTAAGAATGTACTAAGTCGAATGAACGTTTAAAGCATTCTAAAAATTTTCAAACGAAATTCATTGACTTCTCGTTAATACATTTTTTTCTAAGATACAAGCAGCCACCAGCAGGTCGTAAACTCACAAGAATGAGCTAGCGGAGTCTACAACTGAGAGGATGGAATCATGAATATTCAATTGTTCAATTCAGTATATAACCTATATATCATATTTCCTGTTTCTTAAACCAGTGATGAATGGACTTCATGTGCCGTAGATTGATTCTGATCTATGAAAAAACGTGGTCAAAATATAACAGTACGCGAGGCAGATAAAATACCAAGATGACTATATATACTATCAACGGAAGTGACTATAAACGAGTGAGAAGACGGTAAAAAATGTCAACATCCAAAACAAAGTTGAGCATTGAATAGAAAACAGTAATAACAGTTACGTAACAAATGGCGCCTGGAAGTTCATTCTGGAGTTACCACCATAAATAGAGAACACTCGACTGGGAAATATGTGTTCCGCACAGTTAATAGAGACAACGTGAAGTGAAATATAAAACTAATAAAATCGTCGGAAAATAATACAGACTAATACTGTCACATAGTATAGAGTGGTCTTAAAAGGTAATACAACATCATTGTAATATGGAACAACAGACCGATGTCATTAAGGCGGAAACAGGGATGACGTAGGCAGTATTTACTTAAACATCCGGCTGCAACGTGACTCAATCAACCAATTAATATTTTCTATTCACAGTTGATATCAATTAACGACGGGCTCAGATCCCCACAACCTGTTTTGTCCCTTCTTTGTGTGGTTTGTGCTACTAATATTGACAGATATAAGTAGTATGAAACGTCAAACAGAAGTAAAATGTGTGGCGGCATAATGTTAAGAAGATCGAAGGGAAGAGAACGAGAACAGAGAATGTTTGGTGTGAAAACGAAAGAACAATGACGATTGAGACAATTGACTGAAATTTTGCAAATGAAGAATTTACTGTATGGTTCTCAGGTTTTAATAAAATGTTCTGTAATTTTGTGTTCAAATACACTCAATTGTCCCTCTTGTGTTCATGTTCATTACGTTAGTAAGCTTTTAAGAGTGTCTAGTCTTTTCTAGAATATGTCATTTAGAGGTGTGGAGACCACATTATTGAGTAACAGGTCCCGTGAGTTGACGACTCGGTGTGTAAACTGATATGCCTTGAGGATCTTATTTCTCAGTGGATTTCGCACTCGCCTCATATACTCATATATCGTGTGATCTGGTAAGAAAAGAAAACGAGGATATTAGAGTTTCAATATCATTTCTTAATATCCTAAACATATAAAAATAACACAGGTATTTGGAGTTAGACAACATCTTTACCCATAACACCTATATAATCAAAGTAAACCAACCCAGTCAAACTAAAAGTTAGAAATGAAGGAGTTTGATGTTATATTTGGAAAGCTATGGATATGTCGAGAAGCCTTCGATCTAAGCTGACTAGCAGTTCAAGATATGAGTATCACGACACACCCACTCGTGATCTGATGCAGATGCGTGACAGAGCGCCTTCAGCTAGATGTTTCCACTGAAGCCAATGTGGTCAACATCGATGTCGAAGATATACAGAACTTAATTTTTGGGGATTTATTTACTGTTACACATAAAAAACCGACCACTGCTTGTCTTGAGGTAGGAAAAAGGAAGTAAGCTTAACTTCTCAAGCAGCTCCCTGTTATTTAATATGAACTTGATTGCACATATTAGGTTTAGAGGGAGAAAAAAGATATTGTCTTTCATTTATGTTTATGAAAATTATTGAATTTACTTGTCAACATAGCTCTCACAGACATGATATAGTCTCTGAAACAGTGGAATAGCCGACGTCATTCGTAGATGATACTGAACCTAGTTATAAGAAGTTTTTAGTAGTAAAGAATAAAAGAATCAAGAAACATACCGATTTGAAATTAAGGAAAGAAACAATGGCCAGCCAACCTTTATGGTCAGTGGTGAACAAACATTGAAACCGCAACCAGAATAAATCTAGCGTGATCAGAATCGAAACAAACTAATTCATTAACTTTCGCGTTCAAACACAAAAATAATTCATAAAGGAGTTCGAAAATCACATAAACGATAGATGACTCCATATTTCATATTGCGCGGCACAGTAAGACGGAATAATAAACATTGACTATTTCCTTCTAAAAAAAGATGTTGGTTTACCGGTATACTATAGACTTCTTTGATTTCAATAGCCTTTGAGTCTTGCTTTGTGTTTAAATTATTAATCAATCGCAGACGGTCTTGTTACGGGTTATCGTGCTTTTTTGGTTCAAGGTTGTGAACTCATATCCTAGAGAATGGTAGGTTCCTGTGTTTCCTTTGCATAACGTCTACACCAGGCTGACCAGTTAACAGAGGAACAGATTGCTGAGTTTAAAGAAGCATTTTCCTTGTTTGATAAAGATGGTGATGGTACAATCACCACTAAAGAATTAGGTACAGTCATGCGCTCTTTGGGGCAGAACCCTACAGAAGCTGAACTGCAAGATATGATCAATGAAGTAGATGCTGATGGTAAGGCCACATTAGTTGAGTCACAAGCAAATTAAGGTAATGGTACAATTGACTTCCCTGAGTTCTTAACAATGATGGCCAGAAAGATGAAGGATACAGACAGTGAAGAAGAGATTCGAGAGGCATTCCGCGTTTTTGACAAAGATGGAAATGGATTCATATCTGCTGCTGAACTCCGGTTAGTTTGCAACTCTTAAAACTTCATTAGTGGGAGCATGGTATTTTTTAAAATATGAAAATCTAAAGACGAATTTCGTTAGACAAAAAAATCTACATTTTTCTGATATCTTTGTACACTGCTAAATTAAACTCGTTTTAATCTACCCTACCTCCTTGAAAATTCTTGATTGTCTAGCACAGAACAACCGTTATATAAGCTTCCTCTCGTATACTAAGCATGCTCTTCATGGTACTGATTTGTCAATTATGGGTTCCTAGGTGAGACTGCAGTTTATAGACAGTCTTTGAGTAATGCTAGAATGACCTTAAGATATCCACCTTGCTACGGTTAAGTATGGGACTAATACTAGTGTGAGGGATTAGGACTGAGATTTGAAGTTAAACATTAGGGTTAGGAATTCGATTTTATATTTCCATCACGAAGTGACATCACCTGTAATACTAAAATGGTATTTAGCAAAGTAAATAAATGAGTCCCTCGTCAAAATCTGAGATCTGTAATATGACCAGTTCATAATTGTCACCATTAAAACAAAATAAGCCTCAACTCACTCATATTAACTTGTTTGCAGTCAGAGAGAATGCAAAGAAATTAATGAGTTTATCATATTTTCCGAATATTGTCGTTGGTTTATTTAAGTCAGTAGGGTTTCACAGCTTTTATTTTCGTTTATAGTCATCACTGTCAACTTGGACCAATAATCATAAATTCATACGGGGTAAAGTTGTGCTAAAGTCTGTCTAATTATGCCAGTGAAGTCCTTATTTGTCTATTCCAGTTTGGACGCTTGACTTAGTCTAGCATTATAATATGATAGTGTTCCATGTTGTGTTCTGCTACTTCGTGTCGAGTAGTGGAAGCCATTGGGAAGCGGGATCGGTGTTACAGTCAAGTTTGTGTGGTTATTCAGTTAATCTTTCTTCCAAGCTATTTAAAGTAGTATTCCTTCTGTTTTTATTGCTAACCATGCAAACATATTGACTTTGTAGCTACATGCGTCATATAATAATTTGACACTAGCTGACATGTTTTTATGTTTTTACAATGGCAAGTGTCTAGATAAGGTTCTAACAACGTATCGGTAAGCCACTATATCCCCCTAAAACCAAACTGTTTTGTTGTGAATTATAGTTCCCAATTACATTAGCAAGCGTAAAATCAATAGCCTGTTGTTCTCGACATATCTTGTTCTAGTCATTATCGCGATGGTGTTGCTGGAGGCGATTACAGTCGTTTGTGGTACAAAATAAAAGTTTATCATTTCTACCTTCCAGGGAGAAAATAAGGGTCTTTGTTACAAATCTTATGACAAGATTGGCTATGATGAAATACTTTGAGTAATTATTTGAAATGTAGTTGTAATCCGTCAAGCTGAGTTACTTTGGTTTTTTTCCACCTGCCACTGTCAGTACAAATCTATTTATCAATTCCTCAGTATTATATCCTGTAATAAACTATTAGGCTCTTGTTTCTGTGTAATTACCTGTAGACCTGTTGTTTAGCTGCTATTTTTTGAACATCGACAGCATCGTGGTGGTATGGTGTACCAGATGAAATTATCCACAAGTGGATAGTCTCAACTTCTTGTTCCTTTCGTTGATTGTATTCAAGGCAGAATGGCCCAACATTACTCAGAGTTTTACACAGCAACTAGTCTTTAAAGCCATTTTACAAAAGGTCTCGTGACATTTTTCAGTTAGAAATAGCTAAATAGAATAGAACCGAAATCCTAAGCTGCAGCACAGCATCTACACGGTGACAATTTCAGTTCATACAGTCATTTTAAGGATGTCGATATTACTTACCGGTTACCCATGGCATGAAATATTTCCGAAGGTGCTTGGAAAGGAAAACAGATTGTATAGTTTTCGTTATCTAAGCATAGCCACAGGGCCTCCAAAATACTTGGTGCTGATCACGCGGCATTTTTGCAGAGGTCAACATTGTCTAACCCCTTGTAAAAAGCCAACATTATATATATATATATATATATATATATATATATATATAATTAGAACATGACGTCGGTCCAACGTGCAATACTAACCGGTGTTGGAGATTGTTGGAAGAAAGTTAGGGGTGGCCAAAACAAACTAACTTCTAGTCTGATCCATGTTGGGAGATGCAGACCACTTAGTTGGGGTCCGCGTGACTGTCGTAACCAATGGTTAGAGACTCTTGGTGACATGGCTCAGAATCCATCACAGTGGCATCGGTGTATACGCACTCTGTCTTCCCTTAAACTAAGAGATTAAAATTGCTTCATATCTTTCTTTCTACGAGCTAATTCTTTCTTCCTGTACTATATCTTTATTGCAATCTTTCTTTTATATATTACCACTATTGAATTAACTACTTTTATGAATCTGGTGTCCATCTTGTTGTGTTAATGAGGTATGGCAACTTGGACCGATGCATAAATGTGCCTGATCCTACGTTGTAATTGACTGAATTAGAACATAGGTTGTAAGATAAAACTTTATTCTCAAGATTTGCAAAAACCAGAAGTATGAATACATTTTAACCCCGTTACCGGCCATCATCCGCGTTACCACACAATGTTGACTGGGTCATGTAAAACGACGTGGCGAATGAGGTTTCGCTGTAGGCAAGTCAGTATGTGATACTTGTTAAGAATTACAAGGGTTTCACATATGACCCAGTTTGGACAGAGACATATAGTCAGTCTAAATGGAGTTTTTTCCAACAGGCGTCTGTAGATAATCAGGTGAACATATTTCTGGATCAAATCAATGAGTATTGGATTTTAAGTGACTAAATGGTCACCTAACATGAACAGTGTGACGTTATGTCCATCAACCAATGACCACGCAAATAACACAATCGACTGAACTTTTACTCAGTGATATAGATGACAATTGTTCAAAAGTAAGTAGTCATATGACGACAAGTTTTGGTAGTTTCAGAAATTCTGTCCAAAATTTCTTTGTAATGAGATTAATCCTGGTTTATTGTTTGCTCTGTACATATATTTTGTTGCTGGAACATACCTACGGTTCCAAACCGATAGAATGGCGTTGTAAATTTTATGTGATAGTCTTATCCTTTGCTACTTCACAAACTAGACAATCCTCGTATGTTGTTTGGTCACGGGCTTCATGCTCCCTTTAATGTCTAGTTAGTCCTCTCTGGGTTTTTTGCAAGCAATTATTTTGTGCCTAGTAAGGCTAATAACTGTTTGGAGTCTGGGTTTGTTCCCGACCGAAGCTGTTACCTTGACGCGGTGGTCGGGCTTGCCTATCGTGATGACCCAACCGAGCTATATTGGCTGGAACATATGTTCCTGTAGGTTCTACCATGCGAGGGAGGTCGATTGGTGAACGGTAAGACTAAAAGCAGCAACTCAAGGTCTGAGGGCGAAGTCGTACTGCTGACTGTAGAGAGGTGTGACAGCAGTAAGGTGTTTCCCTCGGACAACCAGCATGACAGCGATGCTGCCTTCCCACAAGGAGGGGTGGGGTTAGAAAAGGTCGACCCTAAAAATGTCACACCTCACCTTACCTCACGGATTTCCGTCTCCGGCGGTAAGGCCCTTTGAAGAACGGAGCTAACACGTCAAAAGAAACCCACGAAAAGGCCGTGCGCGACCGGCCTCAAGCAGTTGTCCCTTGGGCTCTGCGGTCACGCTCCCAGGTCGTCAAGACCAACACTAATCCAATTTCCTTTTCAGGTTCCTCAAGAAATACCCTTCCACGGTGTGGGCAGCCGGGGAGTGACATCAGCCCTCATACCCGTAACAGCACACGAGACCAAGTTGGTCACATTCAAATCCTTCCTACACCTCCTAATACCTCTCTTATCTCCATGACTAACCCTCCTCACGTCTCTTTATCACCTCGCACCGCTAGGGCAAACGATTCGAGTACGTGGAACGCTATTCCTGGTCTCCTGAAACCACGCTCTAAACTACACGTAGGAGCTTTTAACGTACGAACACTGTGCCAAATAGGACAGCAGGCTTCCTTAGCTAGGACTTTAGAATCTCGCGCCATCGACGTGTGCTGCGTCTCCGAAACGCGCATACAGGATCCAAGTAGCGTCATTCATTTGACCTCACCATGCCAAAATAAAGAACCGACTCGATTTACGCTTCGTGTATCTGGAAGCCCTGATTCTGCTTCCAGTGGCCTCGTCGGCGTAGGTATAGCATTGAGTCCTAGGGCAGAACTAGCTCTTTTAGAGTGGATCCCAGTAGACAGCCGCTTGTGCGCTATCCGACTGAACGGAACAGTAAGAATCCGGAAAGATAGGGACACTCGTCGTTGCCTCTTCGTCGTCTCTGCCTATTCTCCCACTGACTGCAGCTCAGTTGATGTAAAAGATGAGTTTTACAGAAAGCTTTCCGACCTTCTCCGAAAATCTAAGCGCTCGGATGTAGTAATAGTGGCCGGTGACTTTAATGCTCAAGTAGGTAAACTAAGCGATAGGGAAAGACACCTAGGTGGATCTTATGGTGTCGTGGCTCAAAGAACAGATAATGGCGACCGTCTGTTGCAGCTATACTCAGATAACCGCCTGTTCCTTGCAAATACTAACTTTAAGCATAAGGAAAAACATCTTTTAACATGGCGACCCCCTAATTCGTCCCAACGTTGGACCCAAATAGATCACATCGCTATCAGCCACCGATGAAGGGGCTCGATAGAAGACTGTCGCTCATTCTGGAGCACATGCTTAGATTCAGATCATGCTCTAGTGCGAGCGCGTATTTGCTTGCATCTTACTGGACGTAGGAAAGACGCTGCAAGGAAACCTCTTAGGGGGCTACTTAATGATAGCCAAGCTAAGAGTATATTTCAGGAACAACTAGAAAAACAGTTAGACAGCCATGTATGGGATGCTCACCCTGATGCAGCATGGAATGATATCCGAAAAGCTGTGGAAACAGCAGTGATATCTGCTAGTAAGGTAAACCAGAAGGTTAGGGAGCAACACTGGATCTCAGCAGCATCTATCGCACTGATAGATGCTCGGAAACTCATTCCACCTGGCTCTGAACATAATGAAGATCGGAGTCAGCTTAAGCGCAAGCTGACAATAAGTCTACGCAATGATCGCGAACAGTGGTGAGTAGCGAAAGCAAGAGAGATGGAAAAGGCAGCGGCATTAGGTAATAGCAGACAATTGTTCAGACTCGTTAAGGAAACCGGAATTAGGAACCCGACCGTTAGCGAAACAATCTCAGAGAAAGATGGACATATTATTCATTCTCAATCGAGGAGATTGGATCGATGGGCAGAACACTAGGGATCAGTTCAACTGGCCTTCAGCCACACTTCGGTTTCCCACGATCTCTAGTCAACCTGAATGGCAAATTAATGTAGGTCCTCCGTCCCTTTACGAAGTTGAAAAAGCCATAGGAAATCTGAAACGAGGGAGAGCAGCAGGCCCTGACAGGTTTACTCCTGAGATTTTTAAGGATGGTGGTCCAGTATTAGCAATGAGATTAACTGAGGTCTTAGGTAGAATTCGGGAACTGGACGTAATCCTATCTGACTGGTCTCAATCACTGATTGTGCCAGTCTATAAGAAAGGACATAAGTCCTCTTGTAACAATCACAGAGAAATCAGTTTGACTAATATAGTGTCTAAAATATTAGCTTCAATAATACTTCGACGCCTAATCAAAGCTCGTGAAGAGCAGATTAGAGAAAACCAGGCCGGTTTTCGACCTGGACGTGGTTGTATAGATCAGATATTCACACTACGTCAGGTTCTAGAACACAGACACACATTCAGACGCCCCACAATGGTAGTATTTCTCGACCTTAAGGCGGCATTCGACTCTGTTGATCGTGAGGTTCTATGGCAGTGTTTGTCACTGAAAGGAGTACCAAAGAAGTACATTAACCTTATAAAGGCTCTCTACTCGAACACAACTGGTAGAGTGAGAGCTTATGGCGAACTGTCATCAGAATTGATTACATCAAGTGGTGTTCGTCAGGGCTGTCCACTCTCCCCATTCTTGTTCAACTTTGTCATTGACGTACTTTTAGAGATAACACTCTCCTCATCTAAATTTACAGGGGTTGAACTTGTACCGGGAAGTTCACTTGTTGACTTAGAATATGCTGATGACATAGTTTTATTTGGTGAAGACGCTGACAAAATGCAGAGTTTTCTGACCACTCTAAGCAACAATGCAAGCATGTTCGGGATGCGATTCTCCCTCGAAATGCAAAATGTTGCTTCAGGATTGGGTTACATCGACACCCGAACTAGTGATAGGGAGTGAAGTAATTGAGCGTGTCAATCGCTTCACTTATTTTGGAAGTCTCATCAGCCCTTGTGGTCTGGTGTGTGACGAAATCTCAGCACGAATACAGAAGGCTCGACTAGCTTTTGCCAACTTGCGTCATTTATGGCGTAGGCAAGATATCCGTCTATCAACCAAAGGACGTGTTTACTGCGCAGCAGTTCGTTCCGTCCTTCTTTATGGCAGTGAAACATGGCCGGTAAGAGTAGAGGATATTCGTAGGCTACTAGTATTCGATCATAGGTGTCTTCGAAACATTGCTCGTATATCCTGGGACCATCGAGTAAGTAACACAGTTGTTAGGACACGGGTACTAGGTAAGGATGGCAAATCAATTGATGAAGTAGTGAAACTTCATCAGTTGAGGTGGCTGGGACACGTGTTACGTATGTCCAACGACCGACTGCCTCGACGTGCTATGTTTTATGGTGTAGGAGTAGGTTGGAAGAAAGCTAGGGGCGGCCAAACCAAAACATGGCACAAATCCATGAAGTCACTGACAAGTGAACTGAGCCATGTTAGTAAGTGTAGACTACCTGGTTGGGGACCACGAGATGACAGCAACCGATGGTTAGAGACCCTGAATGACATGGCTCAAAATCGTTTACAATGGCGCAGGTGCATCCACTCTTTGTGATCTCCCAAATTCTAATCTTCTGAATTCTTCATGTCCCTTTCTTTTTTCTCTGTTCAAATTTATTTCACTGGATTATACTCCTTGAATAACATCTTCAAACCCTAATTTTTCTGAATACAACTTATAATTTTACTACATCTAGCACTACGGAATTTGAATCGACAACTGCATCTCTGTACTAATGTGGTATGGCAACTTGAACTGATGTACGTACGTACGAAGTTCTACGTTGTTACTGACTGACTGACTGTGGGTTTGTTGTGATCAATGGTTAAAGATGTTGAGTTCATGATTTAAAATTAGTCTCAATGGTACATATACATTAGCTCTTTGTTTTTGGTTAGATCATGAGTTTCAAAGTTTCTCTGTACCCTTTATTCCACCGACTAATTCCCTCCAATTATGTTCTGTATGTCTATCTCTGACGCCACGACTTTTATATTCATTTCGTCCTAATGTTTTTCACTCAGTGACACTTCCCAGTCCTAAAGCAATCTAAGTGTCGTGGGTAATCTTCGGCATTGTGATATTACAATGATTGTAAAGCACGGTGTACGGCTACTCAGTGTACCCAATTTTGTACTACACTGACATTGAATCAGAACAACTAAGAATTTCCTTGACGCGAAAACCACTTTTTAGCGTTACATTCGACAACTTAATCGTGTCAGTTAGGATTTATTGGCTATTTTATGTACAGCAAAATCACTTTGAAATGGGTATCCTTGATATATTATATATCATATCTCGTAGGCTACACCATCAATCGCTGTTCACTGCTGTTCAGATAAGTCGGGCAAAATAAGTGACCAGTCTAATAACTCATTGTAAACTAAGTGATAGTTTTGCTGGCTTGATGCTTGTAGGTCCAAATCCCTTGCGTAAAGTTCCATAGTTAACTCGACTATCATCAAAGGCATCTCATGATCAAGGCTATATGTGATCCTTCAGTTGTTACAACAAGTTACTAAGTTAATCAGCTCTCTTGATAGGTACTTCATCTGGCTTCCTAAATATCATTTATATTTGCCTGTTTATTTTTCCGTGATATCATGCTATTTCGTCTTACACGTCGTTTGGCGTCCATAACGTAACAAGTTTGTATTGAAATAATCCACTCAGGAGAACATTTACACAAAATTTACTTTCCTTGTTTGATTATGATAGTTCTATACTGTTATCCTATGTTCTTTAGAGTTTTATTTGGTACCATATTGTTGATTAAAGAATTCTCAGCTTTAATATATAATGGTACAAATTCCAGTTTAATATGTTTAACTTGTTAATACTTGAAATATACATAAGGGAACACTTCTCAATAGTGATTAGCTACTATGCATCTTTATCCCTATACTGATTTGATCAGTTTTCTTTCTGTGATATCTTTTCTCACTTCGTAATACACTTGAGGCATCGATTTCAATTCGATTATCTTTTACTTCTCTAATGAACACGCGAGCAGACAAACATACCAACCTCGCCGTAATGATTTCACTCGAATTTGACAGTAATTATCTGTTAAGTTTTTAGCGGGAACTCTTGAGTACATTAGGTGATTAACAAAATATTTGAAAGGTTTAAAAACAGGTAACCTAAAGAGTTTTGGAGTTAGTTTCCACTACACCCCAACTATTCTCAGTCCGTGGCGTAAACCACATCTATGTGTATTTATTATATGCAACAATAACTAAACAGATCCTGGAAAAAGGCAAAGTATTACGGAATAAAACTCTGCATCCCGAAGAAAATATCAAGTCTCTATACTTAAGCAAAAAATTTTTACTGTTTCAAATAGTTTTCCGAAAACTTTTATATGTAGAATATCTACTTAAAATGCTAACCCTATTGTGTGCCCTTATGTATTTTCCACAGACATGTAATGACCAACTTGGGCGAAAAGTTAACTGATGATGAGGTCGATGAAATGATACGCGAAGCTGATATAGATGGTGATGGTCAAGTAAATTATGAAGGTAAATTCAGTATAACTTGTCTTTTTTAAGTTAGTGGTCGGATTCTTGTAGATTTAGTTGTTTTTACGTCTTAATGTAGTTATTTGGTATTGTTAGTAGTTTGTTTATGTTTCACGTATTTCATAGTTGTTTATTTATGTTGTGCATCATATATATATATATATTTATATACATATCTATATATATTTGTTGTTAAAATTTTGCAATTTCATTGTTGTCTTTTTTACTCTATACATCTGCGGTGCGTTTTCATGTTCACCTCATCCGACTTATCTGACGGTATTCGCATGTGATGCCTTTGTCCTATCTGCTATCATCCCAAAATTTATCTACTTCTGTGAACTACATCAACAGAATTCGTGAAAATGATGACAGCGAAATGAGAATACTAAAATAATACATCGAAACTAAACATTCTCATCACACTTTCAGCTGAATGCTCATTTTGAGCAAAAGAATGTCTGTAAAGCAATTTTGTGATTGGCGTGTTGAGTCGCCCATTGTATACGCATGTTTTGTTTACAAACTACGTAACTGATTATACTGTTTGAGTTTTTAATGCTCTGGGCTATTTTTTGTCTGTTTTTCCCCCAGAAAATTCAAAATGTATGCCCCCACTTAAAACAATAAAGCCCTTACTGCTCACTTTTTGAATATATATATATATATATATATATATATATATAAGCCTTATTTCTTTAGGCTTTCTATGTGATGTTGAATTAATCTATGTTAAGATTTTTCCGTAGACAGTAATTATTGTTTGTGCTATACGTTTTCACGATTCGTTCGTTCGCTTGGGATATTACATAGGTCTTTAAAGTTTCTAAACCAACCATCTAAAAATTTTTATGTCGAATATAGAAATTTTGATTCGTATTTTTCATTTTCCGATAACGCTAGAGTTGTAATTATTGTAGTTTAAAAAGGTAGTAGAATGAAAGTCTTTCGTGTTATGTACCACATCGTTTCACAGGAAGATTTAAGGGTCTTTCGATGATTCAAGTTGAGCGTTAACGGTTTATTCTTGTGGTGACAGTAATTCACACTACCTAGGTCGGCTTAACTTTAGTATGCAATGCTATTTTTACCTATTTAAGTACAAATTAATTTGAGAAATCCCTTCCTGTCACACTATTATCTCATCCTTCGTTTTTTTTACAAATGATAATGCATGCATATGTCGTATTTGTTTATTTTTCCGAGTATAATTCGTTGATTGGTTTACCTATTTTGTTTGGGAAAAATGTAGTACGTGGTAGTTTTGTGGTAGATGTCAACTTTGGGGATATTCTCTGTTATAATTGCCTATTCCTATTTTCAGAATTTGTTACAATGATGACGACAAAGTAACCCGAACTAGTTTATACAAAACATTATCATTCCTGGTATCTCCACTAGAAGAAGTGAATTACCGTCGCCAAAAAAACTTCGTACACGTTAAGACACTTGTTGACAGTGACTTGTAGGAAAGCCTGATTTATATATATAAATATATACATATGTATACGCATGTCATCTTGTCATTTTCACACGTTTCCTTGATTAACTTTACCCCTCCACACACATACGTTTCCTCGCTTTACCATCTCACGAGGTAATTGTTCACGTTCATTCTTTACGTCTTACATTATTACGATTTATTCTTTTAAACATCTTCAGTTATTTTACTCATCAGATGTTTGAGGTGAGAATGGTTTTCCTTTTTTCCTCTTAAATTTTACTTTCCCTTGCTCTTTGCATTCCAATGATTGAGTTTGTTACTGTGCCATGACGTTATTGGTGTATATGCATATTTCTTTGTTTTTCTATCCCCTAAAAGAAACTGTACCATTTTCCTCTTAATATAATGTCTGATTATTGCATTAATGAAAAAAGAATGAATAACATTTTAACTGTTGAAATGTGCACTATAATCCTTCCTGAAATAAGTCCATTAATGAAATCAGTTTGCTCACTTATATCTTTCTTCTCTAAAATCCTAATATTTGTTTCACCATTAAAAAGGTTTTTTAAATTGGTTTATCCATTCCTGGGAGCTAAGTAGTAATTTTATTAGTGAATGAAACTTAAAGCAGTTAACAAATAATTTTGTCAAAGCTTTTCCAAATAGTTCATTTCAATTGTCACATCTCATCAGGTAGGTCTCATTATCAGGCTAAAAATGTTGTCACGTTAATGCTTTGCTGAAAACCCATTAATTGAGTAGATAATAATCGCTAAACAGTCAGTTGAATAGATGTTATTCGAAGCTATTGTGTTGTTAAATGGGGCTATGTCTACTTAGCACGATTCATGCGAATTATTTTCATTGAATCAGGTTTATATGTTCCTCTTTACAATATAACTGGTAGTTACAATGCTTTAATTCTGTTTCAAGCGGTTACCACTACCACAGCTTAATATGTAGGATCACGTGTCCCAATTGATAAGTATTACATAAAATCACATCTCGATCTAAATTTGGTGTACGATTTTAGAGTAATCAGTAACTGTTGATGAGTTTTTGATTGTTAACATAGGGTTATATTTGTCTGTTCCATAAATTTCTACCGTGGACAGTTTCTGTCCAATATTTAGTAACATGACTATTTCTAGTCAGTTTTAGCATGGTTGTTTGGTATTGCATGTTCACTTTGCTTCGTGGACCTTGTTTTACATCATTGCCAGTTGTAACAGTTTTCCCGTTTGTTTTTTAATATATACGCAAAGTGTCAAAAGCTTATTTTAGCCAGAGTAATTTCTGTATAAGAAAATTGAAAGATATCCACTTATTGAGTTTATCATGGAGGTAACAATGATTTAACGACTAAGTTGCTTTATATCAGGAAATAATCACATAAAGGTTCAAATCGCTGTGCATTACTTTGTAAATGGCTTGAGGGGACCTCGATGAAATCTAGTCGTGTAATTTAATGGGAACAGGGATTTCGATTTACTCGCTTTTGAGGTACTCGTGCTTCTGTCTTCGAATATTGTTCGCAGAAAGTCAAAGTGTTTTTTCTTAAATAATAAATTAAGCTTTTTAAACCGAAATTGTCTAATATTTCTTATGCGTACTCTAAGGTACTATTTTTGTGCAATGAATATACTTAATAACCAATCGTCGATCTATTCATTTTTATGTATTGTACTGTATAACGTCAATACAATGCATTGCATTACTTAGACTTCTTCGTTAAAACTACAAATCTCATGTTTCTATTAACTTTTTTAATGATGTGGTGTTAAGGTAATCTGTTAGCATAAGTATTTCCACTTCATCTCATTTTGGAAAACTTAAACTTGTTCATCATAGCGATATGGGATAGTTAATCGCGTCTAATATTCCATCGGTTCCAAAAATAAGATTCCTTAGGATTTAAAGTGTTTAGTTTAGTGTAAATATATTAAAGTATGTGATCCAAAAGTGTTGACAGTCCATTAGGTCAGTACGTTGTAATTAGTTTGTGCCTATTTTAACAACTTCCTAGGTCAATCAGTCGCTGCCGTATTGAAATTTTGTTACTGTTTTAGTGATTCATTAAGATCCTATTCCGTTGATTTCATTTTGATATGGGCACCAGAAAATTAAATTTAGGTTGCAAATGAGTCACGGAGTAAATCAATTAAATATTTAATACGATGTATTCTAATATAGTAATTGTCCACTTGTCTGTACTATAGGTGTAGTTCGTTTCCTATGATTATATTTTGTCAGATCGCTTGGTCTGTTTCGAGAAGAAAACTACCATTAACACAGTAGTTACTTTTTTGACGCTATAGTTCCGTTTTATGTTATCATGCGCAATTAATATTTAACTGTTCATAAGGTACATAAATCTCTGTGATGTGGATCGCGATGTATCTTGTTTAAATTGTAAATTACAAAAAGCTATTGCTAGCTAGAGGGGTACGTTAGTTCTACAGCATTAAGAACTTGCTAACGAGTATCTTTCACCAAACAATCACCTTTAGGTTTTGTTCAACATTTGTATAAAAATTATACGTTCCCCCCTTCTATTCATCACTTACCAGTGGCTAAGAGATTACCAATGCTTTATTGACGGAGTTTGTGTACTTAAGGTGCTTTTTTGTTCTAGCAGCGATAAACATCTCTAAGTTTGGCGGGAGGTATGTATTTCAGATGTAAAGATTACTGCTCTCAACAACATTGACAGCATCATTAGTGATAGTGGATTAAGAATTAACTTTACTGATATCTGTATTCACATATGTTGTAAAATATGCTACGGATAAATTAGGGCTTCAAATGAATACATACTGTTCAAAGTTGCTATGCTTCGGACCAGCGTTATTAAGAGATAATGCCAATCTCATCACTGGCAGGAAATTAAAAGGTATATGTAGAAGTTTGTAAGAACGCTACGTCTTTCGTGCCGTCCAATCCAAAGTAGTCATAGTCAATTATAGTAACTGGGCGAGCTGTATGCGTCGATTTGTCAATCACTTCGTGGAACAGTGTTAGTTGCGTTAAAATAATACACTAGCTAACCTTGCACAGTAAGATGACCTACCGAGCACGCGTATTTTTTTATTGTGATCACATCTGCGTACTAGAGTTCACAGCTTTACCACCTAAATTAACAGACTACTTTTGCCAGTGATATCGATTTATTGGGTCTAAATGACATGAATATAGCGAAAACGGTGAAAGATTATAACATAGCTTGAGTTCACGTGCTGAGACTACTCATAGCAGTTTTCCTCAATTAACCAACTAATTTATTTACTTGACTAGTGTATCGTAATGACAACAGTCGATGTACATTATAACAACAATCTTAGTTTCTCAAGATTCCACTGTAACATTATTGATGGTTTGAGTTAGCGTTCTGGCGAGGAACCTCGAGGTAATTGCAGCGTTTTGCTAATGGTTAAATGAAAAGCAGGGAACGTCCAAATATTTCCATTTTTCTTTCCTGGGACAATACACATCATATTACTATGAGAATTCGTGTATCCAGAAACCTGTAAAGTAGTTAATATCACTCGTGGTTAGAGAAAAGATTTCTTATCATAACAGTACCATTCATGTGATTTCGAATCAATAAGTCTAATTATATGATGTCATCTGATTTATTAATTTCGAATTAATTAAGTTTTAAGAAGCTAACAGTTGCACTACATTTAAAACAAATGTGAAATGTACGAAATGGTTTAGATAAGAAAAATAAATTACTAAAGGAGGATGAATTGACTTATTGAGAGAATAGAACAGAACTGTTTGTTAAAAGGAAAGTTATCGCATACTATACTCTTGTCCGGTTGAACTCGTAGATATGAGCTTTAATTAAGGGCAGATCAAAGGTGATGTTGGTTAGGCTTTTCTGAATAATATAAGCGTATTTATGAATTTTAGTTTTACAAGACAATAGTTACCGCTTGTCAGTTGGGAACACCCACTCAGGTAAACTCGAATTTAAGTGGTTTTTTCACATTGTACATCGAAGATGAGAGTAAAATGTTTAGTTTTTTGCTATCATGCAGCTGTAATAATCAACGACGTTCTAGAATACAGTGAATTCGAAAATTTTCCAAGTTCAGTCATCATACTTCTGGGCTATTGATTTCCTCGATATTCCAGGTCGCTTGGTGAAATGATTGAGACCGCAATAGATTGGATTTTATATCTATCTAAGTTTGGGGCCCCCAAATGCCCTGATGCGGCTAAGGGCGGGAAGAGTGCGCTCTCACATAGCCACGCGTATACAGCCACTACCAGAGAAGTCCTACTCAATAATTTATCGCGTCGGGGATTTTTTTCACAAAACAGATTTCCGCCACTTTAACCAGGTCGGTGGATATGAGGGATCCACTTAGGTGAGTTGGAAAACCCTGATTCCAAACCATTTGGTGTACATTGGCTCCATGATCTTTAGAGAACAAATTGTGTATGGACCTACCGTTCGTGACAGACTGCCATGGAACTGCATCTCCTTACGTTGCTCCACTGCCTTGTGGATTTGACCTCTAGATCAAAAAGAAAACCACCTGTTTCGGTTTGGGCTCTCGGGCCCTTACACAAACCAATGATAACTAGTACTGACTTCATTGTTATTGTGTGGCGCATATGTATTTGATGCCCCTCTGTACCATGTCTATGTGTTCAAATACATAAATTCGGGCTTTTTGGGAGTGGGTGGACTAGGATATTATCCAGTCGGTCGCACATTCGATATATGAGTTAGCTGCCTTTTTAACCCAGTAGTAATCACATCCCGACACGTAGTGTGCTTTAGGGTTGTATATATCTGTAATGTGAATGATTTACATTGAAAATAAACAAATAATGCGTTCAGTTACTTAAAACTCAACAAAACGGTAAAATACCAGTCAAATAAACACAATTA